GAGGGCAGGGGACAGTGAACAATATGCTGGGTGGGAGCGCTGGTTTGGGCTGGACTAGAGTTAATTTTCTTCCCAGCAGCCCTATGGGGCTGTGTTTTGGATTTGTGCTGGAAACAGTGTTGGTAACACAGGGCTGTTTTCCTCACTGCCGAGCAGGGCTCACACAGAGCCAGCCAAGGCCTTTTCTGCCTCTCACCCCACCCCACCAGCGAGGGGCTGGGGGGCACAAGGAGCTGGGAGGGGACACAGCCGGGACAGCCGACCCCAACTGACCCCAGGGACATCCCACACCGTACGGCATCGTGCGCAGCGGAGGGAGCTGGGGGGAGGAGGAGCGAGGGGGGGACGTTCGCAGCGATGGTGTTTGTCTTCCCAAATCACCGTTACGTGTGAGGGAGCCCGGCTGTCCTGGGCATGGCTGAGCCCCTGCCTGCCCCTGGGGAGTGGGGGATGAATTCCTTGTTTTGCTTTGCTTGTGTGCATGGCTTTTGCTCTGGCTGTTAAATGGTCTTTATCTCAACCCACGAGTTCTCTCACTTTTGCCCTTCTGATTCTCCTCCCCATCCCACCAGGGCAGGGAGCGAGCAAGTGGCTGGGTAGGGCTGAGTTGACGGCTGGGGTTAAACCACAACAGTGGGGGCTTTACTTGCTAGCTGGGGTGGACACACCATACACTGAGAATAGGAAGTAATCACAACCACACTGATGGTCAAGTTATAATTAACCTGGAAGTTTTAGATACTGTGGTTCTTTTATTTTGCACTTTTCTAAAAAAAAAAAAAAAAAAAAAAAAATTTACTTTACCTGAATTATCACATGGGTAGTGAAAAAAACAAAACAAAACACATTTTTTTTCTTAATTTTTCTCTCAGATGTTGAAGAGGTTTTTAGAAAAATAATTAAATACATAACTCACACTGGCTTTCTCTGAATGCTAAACCAGCTAGAGTTGTAACATTATTACTCCTATTGAGACACAGGCCAAATTTAGGAAAAAATATGAGTTGGTTTACAGGTAGGTGTTCAGTATAGGGTAGGCAGACTGCTATGCCAGCTGAATCTGGGACTGTGTCAACAGACTTGGCCAGCAGTCAAGAAGCTCACCCAGACAGTATGGTAGCAACCCACCTCTGGCAATATTTTAATATTTATTCATCTTTTCTTACCTATTTGTTCCCAAATTTTTCAGGCCTCTGGGTGAAATTCAGACTGCTGAGGTCAATTGTGCTGATGTCAACAGAGCAAGAACATCACTGTCAGAAAATGCTGCAGCAAGAATCCTAGTTTGCAAACATAATTACAACTTCAGTACAAAGTTCATAACTATTTTTCTTCTAATATAGGCAAACATGGTTGTTGAATTCAAAGGGAAAAGACCATGATTTTGCAAAACATGTGATGGTTTTCACTGAACACATTTTAATTTATGCACAAAGACTTTTTGACATTAATGCTGACAAGGGACCACTACTCTCTCTCAATGTGATAGATCTTACTCCATTTGAAGGTGCTTGATTTTCATCAGAAAAGCAGTCCCCATTGTGATGTAGGAAGCTATGCAGGTGTGCACCCTGCTTTTCCTCACTTAGGCCTTTCTAGAGCAACAAAACAAAAGGCACACACTGACACACAAAAGCATCCGTGCCAGCTGCCCTGCCTGACATGCTGCTGATTTTAACGCTTTATCATTGAATCAATGTCACTGCTTTGAAGCTGTAGCCTGAGCAAAGCATACTACTTAGCAGTCATAGCAGCTCATTCGGAAAGAATATTTTTTATAATAAAAAAGGTGATTAAAAAAATGTGTGTGCTTTGGGAAATACAGCCACAGAAACAATGCATGGGAGACCTTCAACTTAAATACATTTCAGCAGAAATTCTGACTGCGGCCCTCCTACACACAGGAGAGCCTGTGCATGCTTAAACCACAATAAAAGGATGCCACAGCTCTGCCTTTACTGCTCTTTACTGAGAAGCTGTTATATTCATGCAAGGTAAGGCTCAATCTGAGTAACAGCAAGCAGACTTTTTTCCAAATAAAATAATCTGAACTACCTGGGGTGAACTTACCCACTGGCCCCGACCTTCCAGCTGCAAAGAAGAAAGCAGCTGCACAGCCTCCATCTAAACTAGAAATGTCCGATTTAGAGTGTTTCTGCTGGTTAAGGTGTGGATGAGCAAGCGAAGCTCAGCAGGGTCTCTCATCCCTTGTAAAACTCTTCATTTCCTTGCTCCACAGCTTTGCTTTCGGGGAGCAAGAATGCCAGAACTGAGCCTGGTTTTCCCTTTCTGTTGATGGGGATAACCAGGAAAGGCTCAAGAATTCTAGGGACTGAGATAGCTGGATGAAATGCTGAGAAGAAAGAGGGAGGAGTCTTTAAAAAAAAAATTAAAAAAAAAAAACATTCTCTCTGCCCTTTCTCCCTCCAGCAACACCTCACCTCTCCCTATCACAAGTCAGCACATCAGCTTCTCTAATTAAATGAGTCTGAAGCTGACTTGGAAGAAAGACAACAACTACAACACTGAAGTTTGTTATTAGCTTGTGTGATGAACTAGGAGACTGTTTGGTCAATTGGTGGCTTAACCTACTTTATTTTAATGAATTAGAGATACACAGAGATGCCATGTCAACGTAGTCTGAGATCATCACCACCATCATCAAACAAACTTTGAAATCAGTTCTAAGTGGCAGTACTTTGTGTGGAGTCTAACAAAATGTGTATAAGTACCAGCCAAAATAAATTATCATCTTCTCCCCTGTAGAGGCATACCAGTACATGCCTGATGCTGTGAGGAGTGCCAGCATGGCATGCCACCACACTGGATATGAACTAACTAAATGGAAAATTATAAACTGAGAAATTTTTTTGATTCAGAAAAAAACTGAAACATATGAACTGTAACATCTGCAGCTCAAATGATCTGCTTAAGAAATATATTAAATTTTTAACAATGGAAGAACTTTGTAACCTGTTCAAGGTTGGATTTTTTTTCCCCTAAAAATTCATCTTCTAGAACTATTTTCTGTGAAAGATGAATTAAAAATAACAGGTTATAAATATCAAAATTCAGATCATTACTGAGACCCGTGTAACATAATTACATCACTGAGAACTGCTCTGAAAATTCAGAAGGTCTGACCCCTGATGCTTTCAGTCAAGTCCAGAAACTCTGAAACAGTTTAGTTTGCAAGCAGCTTTGTAACACTTATTGTAGCAATGAGATTTTCCAGACAAGACCCTTTGCCTAGAATATACTTTTGATGTCTGAGACAAGCCTGACATTTCCACTTCCTATTTAATTTTTAGGTAACTATTGCTTTAAAGTTCTGAGCCCAAGTTGTCTGCCCCAAGTAAACCAAATCTCTTCATTTTTTACTTTCATTTGCCACTTCTGCTTTTCTTTGCTGGTCAGAACATTTGGAGCTGAGCCCCAGTGGCACAACAGGCTTCCTAACCCTACAGTTTCCATTTTCTGTACAATTGATCATCACTTCCTCTTCTATGTCTGAATAAAATAAACTTCAAGGCTATGCATTAAAATTTTCTAAAAACAGTGCCATGTCTGCTCTCTTGCAGCTAGAGCAGACCTCTGATTTCAGTACTGTAGACGAGGAGGCATCTCACACAATTTCTGGGTGAAGGAAGAAACTCGGTGACTATCACGCTGTAAGAAATAGGCATTTTCCTGAGAGGGAGCCTGGGTGGAATTTGACTCCATGATATCACAAATCAGAAAAAAAAATAACTTCCTTTTCAAAGTCTCAGTGCTACTGTCATTCACGGTACAGCTGAAGACAGTAATAGAACAAGAGGTTTCTCCCTCAAGCCTGCAATTTTTGGGGGGAAAACCCCTCAACATCCTAACACCAGTACACATTTCCTTGTAGGGACAAGGTAACAGCCTTGCAGCAAGCGAGCAGCATGGCACTGCTGCCCTAGGAAACCCCAGAAAAGAAAGGGCTCTACAGCAAGGGCCATTTGCAGAGAGCACTGAATAATTTTTATATATATGCATTTTATTTTATCATATAAATGCAGAACTTGTATAGATATATATTTATACATATACATATATATATATATATATATATATATATATATATATAATTGCAGCCAGAAAAACCCATTTACATCAGAAGGTGATCTCTGGTCCTGACACAGCTGTTTCAGAAGAACTTGCAATAAATATGCTTTACTCATGCTACTAAATATTTTTTCTAAAAATCTATTTTAATTATGCATCTTGACATGTCCCCCTTCTGAGCAATGGCAAAAATACCTGTGATTGTGGGATTTGTTGCTTTTTACAATGAGTCAAAATATGAAATTGCTGCTTATTTACAAGACACTCCTACCGTAGAGTACAGGATGTGCATCTACAGCCATGCTCACACGTTCTTTTGACTGGGGTGGGTGGGTGGGTGTGTGTGTGTGGGGGTGGGTGTGTGTTAGGACTTGAAAGTAAGACCTAGACCACCAGCCATACCCAGAGTCTGGATTTTAGGGCTAATCCCACAGCTTCCCAGCACAGCACTCATCTCCCTCGTGGCAGATTACAACACAGAGCACACCTCATCTGCCACATGCTTTTTTAAATTTTAGTCCCTGATGAATTAATTTCCAATGAAGATTTTTTTTTTTAAGTGAAAAATCTCTAATGAATAATGCTAAAAAGTAAGACCAAAGAGAAGCCTACAATCAGTTCACTGTATTCAACCAAAACTACTAGCTGACCAAGTCTAATTCTTCACATTCAGTGGAAATTTTATTAAAAGGATAGTCTAAGAAACACCTTTTTTTTCCTCCGTTCTTCTGACAAGATTAACTATATTCTGCTTCAGCAATAAAATCTTAAAAAAAAAAAAAAATTACACATTAGACTACAAGCCACTTAGAGTGCTCTCCTTTTCCCAATGTACTAATTGGACACTTCAGCTTTTCTGTGACCCTGTGGAGGGCAGAACACTCCTTTCAACCTTGCTGCTGTGTTTTTCCAATTGCACTAGCTGGCCTCTTTGCTCAGCAGCAATCCAGGCAGAGCTGGCTGGTTTGGTACAATCCGGAAGGCTGCTGTATTAACAGAACAAAAAAGCACAAGGAAGAGCCTGGTGGCTGTATAAAACTCCCTCCGAGCTCCAATCCCTGCAGAAGTTCACTGGCCTCAGCAATCAGCATGACCAGCCAGTCTCAGGGAATCCAGCAGCTTTTGCAGGCAGAAAAACGTGCCAAGGACAAACTGGAGGAAGCCAAAAAAAGTAAGTAGCTGGCCTAGTTTTACTGTAGTTTTCAACTGTAAGCTATTCAGAATTACAGGGGCTCACGGAAAAATACTATTTCATCTGTATACATCACAGCTGTGCTGTTCCTGTTCTCTCTTCTCACTTGCATTAGTGCTGTGCCTTGACTGCAGCCAGGCATTTCACCAAACCTGAACATTCAGTTTGCTTAAAATTCTGTGTGTACATGTATGCTTGTGTGTGCACGCACATATGCCTTACTACATTAAACAAGGTTTTCTTTGTTGTATTCATCCTGTCAGCTAGATTTATTCTTGCTTTATCTCAATGCCAATAATGTCATTACAGCCTTCCTCAGCTACTTAAACTAGAAGCCTACATGCCGCTGGCTGACAGCTCTGCAGGACCAGGCTCCAAACTCTCTATTTCTCTTTATAGGTCTTGTATAAATTTTTCACTGTCCCTCTTTACTTACAAAATCTTTTAACTTGCCTTCTAATCTCAGCTGGGATTTAAATAAATTCTATGAAAACAAAGGGAGACTTCAGCACAATGATAGCAATTAAAGTCATGGTACAATCACAAGCACTGTCAGTACTGTAGTAGGTCATTCACATAAATCTTATTACATGATACAAGTAATCAGCAAGTGATTAAATGCTCAGTTTAAAATAAACATCTCGTTTACTGAAAGCCTAAATGACCACGGCAAAGCATGTGTGGATATGTAATAATAAGAAATTCAACTATTTTTATTCTAGTCATATATAAGCAAAAAAATAATAATAACAAATATAAAAAAAATGAAGATGTCTGCTAGAATAATTTAAACCAAATAAATAACTCTCCTGGCAGAGTCTTTCTATTATCTATTTCCTTAATTTTCTGCATTTATCTCCCAGTGATTTAAAGCAAAATATGGTAACCTTCTTCTCCTGAATGTAGGTACCAATCACATGAGTCACTGACCTGCATTAGCACTGAAACATTAATAGTGTTTCATGGAGTTACCTTGATTAAGAAACTAGCAGCAGAAAACAATGCTGTCCTGCAGGACTCAACTAAAATGCATGAAGATTATGTCATGTGGAACAAGAATGTGATGAAGGAATATATTTTGTTCTCCAGGGAGAAATAAAAGCTAAACAAAAATAATTTGTGTAGCTTCTATATCCCTTCTACACACAGATCAGCACTGCTCTGTGTTCATTACTAGTGTGACATGTTAATTTGTATAGCAGCATACAAAAAATAAGTAGAAATCCAATACCTCTTCCCTGAGCATCCAGCCTCTGCCTGTGCCTTGAAGAAGCAATAGAAGAAAAAAAAAAAATTCTCCCACCTTCATCAAACAGAAGGTTCATAAAAAGAAGGTGTTTGGGAGTTGCTGCTCCCAGACTGAAAGCAAGGCATAATTAAGAAGTGATTTGACCCTTATATAGCCAAACAAGGTGCTCTGAATGGGATGGTCCTTCCCTTCTCATGTAGGGCAGGGGAAACCCACTGTTCCCCAAGGCCAGAAGCAAGAAAGCATACTACCTGGAAAGGCACAGCTCCCAGTGGAGGGTGTGGGAGTTTGGTCTGAACACAGGCTGCAGAATCAGGCCCCTAGCTACACTAGCATGATGTTGATTACTCTTTATTTTTAGCTTTTGGGGGGGGGTTGTTATTTTCATTTCATTTAGGTTTGGTTTTACAACCAGACAAGTCAGTTTAGCTTTTCTAAAACAGACACTTAAAATGAGGTTTTGTAAATTAAGGAACTCCAAAAATGAGAAGTATCATTATAACATAGAAGTAATGACCAGATGAGTGTCTTGCAGAATTCAGACATAGTTACAGGTGCATTTACTCTACTCTGCAAAAAATGCACTCCCCTGTCATCACCTCAGCTCCACACAGAGAGCTTGTGGTAAGGACAGGGCTTCTTACAGGTAAAGTATCTTCCAGACTCCTCTGAATCAGAAAGTTGAATTAAACGACTCCCTATGCTTACCTCAACACTAATACACTGGTGGGAGTTATTCAACAGCTGCAGAAAAACAGCTATGAAGAAGTTTGCTATCAGCAAAAATATTTAAAGTAAAAATATTTCATCAGTATGACTTTCTTCTCTATTACTTTTAAGCCCAAACATTTTTTTGCCTTTATACAAACTATTAAGGAAAATAAAAATTTCTACTATGCCACCTTAGACATCTAACAATACCAGCATAACTTAAATACCGTGGGACAAGGACAAAAGGGTCTTTTAGTGCCAAATCTGGTTATGCCAAGTCAGAATTACTTTAACAGCATCTTCTCCAGAGTGATTACGCAGCTAGATCAGCATCAAGGATTGCATAGTTTGAGCGTAAATAGCTAAGATAAAATGAAATGCAACCAATATATCCAGTGCAATCTGTTAACCTGTGCACACACAATTCAGTGAAACAAGGCAAGGACATGCTGCTTCACCCCAGAAAATGCCAGCCCAGATCCACCCAGTACCAGTTCAGATCAGCAGCTTCTGCTCAGGGCCTGGCACTCTGTGGATCTGGGCTGCAGGTGAAAGCAATGAACTTGTCCAGCAAGTGCTAATACAGTTCCATCCCTGCTGAACTGTGCATATGATCCTCCTTTGTCACCCCAAACAGTCATTGCACAACACCACTACACCAATGAGTCCAACTGTTCTGTTTACACTGTAACGCAAGAAGAATGAAGGGCAGATTGTTCATGGGACACAACTAGGAAAAGTCATTTTCAAGGAAACATGATTAGCAAAACTACCCTTACGCAAATTCTTCAGTGTTTATAGTTGATACATAACCAGATTAAAATGTAGCATGAACATAAACAGATAATGGGCCTGGGTTTTGCTGACATATGTGCAGCTGCTCATAATGCAAAATCCACTTTGGATAACTGAAAAATTAGCAACTAAACAAACATATTTACAGACGTGAAAGAAAACAAAAATACAGTGCTAAAGCTCCTCTGCACATGCTTCTTCACACTTCTTGGTCAATACCCTTTATCCTGGCTTGCAATATCTGTAATGTATCACTCCCTGATGACATTTATACCTCACAAATTAATAGTTTGTTGGTAAATGCACACATGCAAGGCTGGAACTTATTAAATTGATTAAACACAAACAAAAACAGTCTAAAACCCTTTGGCCTTTTATACACAGCACTGCTTTATCTATCATTTTTGCTTTAAGCATAATTTGGATCCCTGAAATAATTGAGCATTGTCAGAGCCAAGACAACAATTCCTGAAAATCCTTCTGGGTAAATCAAGGGAAACAAATGTGTCACGAACACTGAGTTTAGCAAAACTTGGGTTTCTATAGATTTTTCTATCTTGGCTTGAATTTCTAATGCCTAATAAAATGAAAACTCAGATGAAGGATTTCAGAAATTCATATTAAAAACAAATGTTAATCAAAATAAGATATTGTAAACAGAATTATATCTATGGCACTCTTGTGGATAATATCCAGGACACATTTTATCTACTGAGAAAGCTATACATATTGATCAGCTACTTCTATTGTATTTTATTAGAAGTGCAAAACACTATTCTCAAAATGAGCATCCCTAAATCCCATCTTGCAGGCAATCTAACACTCTTGAAGACAACTGAAATGGTCCTATTTAAAGAAAATATGATTAATTTTTGGCAACTTCTTCATATGACATGATTTCTATGCAGAAAGTCAGCGAGAAGCCTAGATGATATGTTTGAAAACAGAAAGCCAATTTTAGCTTGGCAGTTTTTGGAAAGTAAGTTAACTTAGTGTTTGAGCAAATTAAAATGCAACGTTTTTGCTTTCTACTGTATTTTTCTTGCAAGAGCTAAAAAAACTCAACAACCTAAAAAACTTCATCAGTTCTTTTGGATCTAAGCAGAGCTAGGTATTTCATTAATGTCACAGAAATACCTAGAAAGAAGAACACAGCCTTCTTCCATACTGATAATGCCTTCCAATGCTAGATAAGAAAACCTACTAACAGGCTGACTTGTTACAGAAATTGGTTAAGATTTGGCCAATTTAAAATGATGTCTAGAAATTTATAGGCTGTCAGCTACCATAATCGCAGACAGCAGTGGGCAAGGAAACCAGGCATAACACGGCTGCTTTGCTGCTCACCGTCTTCAAGAATGGGACGGAGGGACAAAGGGGCAGCAGCAAACCTGGCCTCCACGGCATGACCTTTGGGCAATAGTCTCTTCAAACTTGGAGCTTTCTGTACCTCACCTTTATGGCCCTAGATGAAATGTCACAGTGACAGGTTGGTTTGCCCATCCTTCTGTGTTTCTTGCCTTCTTTTTTCATGATCTTGGTTGAATTTCAATGTTCTGCCACCCATCAGTTTGTAAGGTTTGATTTCAACTCATCTGTGCTCTGCAGAGAATCTCATCCAGAAGATCGGTAAGACTTTGAAAAGGCAATCCCATATTGTACAACTAAGGTAGCAGACAAGTGGTTAATAACAGACTGATTAATTAATTTTAGTTGGTCTCTAGTGAAACAGCAGGTTAAGCTCTAGTTTCTGCTTAACTTAATCAGGTGCAGCATATGCACTATCGCATATGTTGGCAGTTGCCGATTCTGTTCATGACGTTGAACTAGCAGTAATTTACTCACAGCTTTTCCACTTAATTAAATAGGAAGCAGCAGGTTCCTGCTGTGCCAATCCTAAAGGCATCATGGAAAAATGAAATGGCTGCCACCCTACAGTGACACCCTATGTATTGTGCTTACTCCAGTGCACTGTCAAGAGCTGACATGTATGTATATATATACTTTTAGGTTCACTGGATACATTGTCAGAGGCAAATGAACTGTTGTTTTACAGTTAATCTCTTTCCATTTTGTGCATTTTAAATGGATTTATTTATCTATCTGGTGGCCAAATATGCAACATATTTACTACAGATGGCCCCCCAGATGGAATTTGAAATTAAATTCCCACTGATTTTGAAATAATTTAATTTACTATAGAGATCCAGTTCCTCAGCTGGTGAAATTGGCAGAGCTTCATCGTAGTCACTCCCCCTGACTTCCAGCTCCAGAGAATCACCTCCCTGCTCTGCTCCTAGAGGAAAACTCCATAAAAGGCTGATCAGCTCCAAAATTAGAGAGGAGAATAAGGAAAACTTCAAAATACAGGCCTAAACCTGGTTCCAAATTTTGTTGTCCAGACTGATGTCAGGCTTTTACACAAATCTGTCAGTTCACGCATACCGGTTCCAAGACTTCATAGAGTGTGTGGCAGAAGCTGAGGGAATCAGCCCTTATCAAACAAATACAGACGTTGGAAAAGCTCACACTAGATTTTAAACTGCCTCTCTGCCCTTTATACATAAGCACAGTGCCTCAGTGGCAGAAGGACTCAGAAATATAATTAACTACACAGGAGAGCACTGCACTAATGAACTGAGAGTCAGTAAAGCTATCTAGTTCCTCGCCAGGTTACTCCTTCCTGTAAAAAGCCTTTATACAATCACACACCCCAGGTCTCACAGTAAGCACACCTACAAAATCAAATGGTCCAGGAACCAAGATTTCAAAAGGAAATTCACATTTCAGGCATCTCTGCTTCTACTCACTCATCTGCAGATTATGCCTTCAGGAGTCACCAACTGGGCAAATAACTTACTGCTGATCAGGCATTTTACCCAGACTTTTGCTGAATCTCAGATGTATCAAAAACAACAGCCTTTCTCCCAAGATTCAGTGGAAACAGATTGGTATATGCCATGCCTGATAAGGCTTCACAAGCACAGCACTGGTGTAACCAATCCAAGGCAGCATCCTGGAGAAAATAAATCAGAAATACTAATGCTGGTCTTTCTATCCTAGTTAGAGAATGTTCCTTAGGATTTCAGAAAAGGCGCTGTTTTCAACGCTCATGCTTGAATTGAAAGATTTAAAAACAAACAAATAAAAACCTTACAAAAGTATTCATATTGCTTAGTGATGATAAGTAGGTGGTTACAGTAAGTAAATAAATGCATGTTTTACTCATCAGATCAAGGTGCCTTTTTCGGTTGCCTAGCCCCCATTCTTGTGACATCCTAATTTAAGCAAGTAAGCAATAGCTTTTTCAGCCAAAGGTATTTCTCCCATTAAGAAAAGGGAGCAAGCGAATCCCCTCCCACTCCTAAAATTCTAGCTGTACAACAGAGAGAGACCCCCAAAATCAGCATTGGACCAGGTGTCTCAAATATAACATCAACTTTCTCTGCAAGAGGTTTTCAGTCCTGTCAGTTAGAAAGTGGCTGTTTTCCTCACAAAGTAGTGTAACAGAGTCCTGTGCACATCCATGCAACTTTATCAACTTTATACAAAACAGGCAGGCAGAGATGCATCACCATGGGGTGGTTATGACATGTTCAACACTTGCTTTCTGTAAAAACTTAAGCATCACATTCCCATCAAACCTTTTACTCCTATCCTTTACATAATGTCCCTGCTAGACCCAGGAACTACCTTATGCCCAGTCCTGCCATGACTTAGGTGGGCTTGATTTGACAAACCCTTAGTATTTCACCTAAGACAAAGTAACTATTCACAGTGAACAAAATCAAGTATGTAAACAAGCCTGTTCAGGAGTATGGCTCTAGTTTCCACTACAGCCTAAAATGCCACCTTACACATCACCCTCCTGTTTAAAAAGGAGAAAAAGACTTAATCACTTTCATGTTTTCTAGGCATTGATAGAGAGTAACATTGACCTCCTTTTTCTTTTAATCACTCACCTCTGCATTTAACAAATGTCAGGGGGAAAAGATGGGGGAGAAGAGGACAAAGCCTGAAGGTTGCAACTTAGTTTGGTAGTGGTTAAGATGTATCTTGCAGTACTTTGGAAATCTGCCAGCTCTAAGCAGAATCCAGTTGGTGTGGAATGAAGGGATGCTGGCAACCAATCAATATAGCAAATCTTACAAAATAACGTCTTTTCCCATCAGTGACAACTAAAATCTGTTATCTGGCTGCTACTATTGCTGATAAAGGAAAGATAGATATTTATTTGAACACGAAGCTGTGATAAAAAAAAAAAAAAAAAAAAAAAAAAAGAAAGAAAAAAGCATTTGTTATGAGAAAATGTGTAGTTGAAAAAAGACTTCTGTTGTTAGCAAACTGACAAGCTTTTCATCTGATGCGTGCTTTTGCACAGGGATTTGGGCTCACAAGATGGGTACTTGTGTGACTGGCTTTCAATCAAAAAGTACCCTACCTAAATCACTTTGGCTCTTCTGACCATTCTTGTGCAAATAAAGCTGCTGTTGACTTTGCTTGAAGCTTTGTCCATTTTACTATGCCATGGAAAATACCTCTGATTTAGAGAAATTTATCTTTTGGGGTACAGTGACAAGTGTCAAGTAAATCCCTGTTTCTTCCCCCATTAGGAAAGGGAAAGAGGCTGAAGCAGGCCAAAGAAGAAGCCATAGCTGAGATAGACCACTACCGGTTACAGAGGGAGAAGGAATTTAGGAACAAGCAAACAAATGTAAGAAACCTGAATATGTTCTTTTGTAGTGTCAAGCTGCTTGATGGTAAACCAAATTGCTTCAAACAGTGTTACACGGAGACACCTGCAAACCAACATGATCATACTGATTAAACACAGAGATATCACCTATCATGTGTATAGGCTTCATTTTGACTTTTTCACAGGCTTTGAATGCATTTGCAGAAGGTATTGTGAACTTTCACCACTAAAATTGTCCAGATTCTGTATTTGGTTCATGCTTGTCCTTTGAAGACATATCTCTCTTAAGGAAAAATATCTTTGGATCCTCTAACTACATATAGACTTCATTCCTGTCTTGAAACTGAAGGTTTCAGTAAGGTGGATATTTTGGTAAAAGCAAAGATTCAAAATCTTTCTTTCTATTTCTGTTCCACTTCAGCTGACTTTTTTGACTGCATACAAGACTGCATCTTTGATAAACTGAAATCACAAAAACTTCAGAGTTTTTCACTATGTTTTCATAGTAAAAGTCGTCTAGCTGATATTTTCATGTCTGAATTATAGAACACTTTATACATTTATGCCACCTTGCAGTTTTCTTTAGTATTTTCATGAAGGTTCACAAACTGTTCTCCTTTTACTTGGTGACCTTCCTCTTACATTTTTTGTTCTTGTTTTTCCTCCTGCTTGTTTAGTACAGAGGCAAGGAAACTACATGTGCAAAAGCAGCCACAAAAACAGCCGAAGAGGTCAAATAAAAACTGCTTTACAAACCTGTCATTTCAGTCACACTTCACATAAAACATTTTACAACAGATATCACATGTCTTAGGAACAGATATACACACAAAGCCTCTTAACATATACTGCCAGCCCCCAGACGTTGTCACACAGCCAGGCCAGGTAGAATTGTCTCATATGTACAATTTCAGATGTTTACTGATGCTAAAATAAAGTAAACACACCTCTAAAATTTGTTCACCTTTTCAGTCAAGCCGGAGTTCTTGTTTTAGGTCTGAAATAGCAGAAGAGAAAAGACGTTGCTTTGGTGTGAACTCAGTCTTTTCATCACAAACAAAACCAAAGCTGCAGGGAAAGGCCACTCTTTGTCATCTGAATATTTCACACAAGCAGGACAGAGCACATATTGCTCCCCAAATGACAGCACATTGTACAAGATCACTGCAGTCCTCCTTCACGTTCTCTGACCCCGTTATGTCGAACATTTATCTACCCAGACAAATGTCATCATTATTAACCTGTGCCTGGAAGGCAGTCAGGAGTTCCAGTTAAGCCAGGGCAGAGGGAATTCTGATGCCCAGTTCAGTATACTGGTTCAAGGATTCGGACACAAATATTTTTAACTCTTTGTCACAGTCTCATTTAATGCTATTCCTCCTCTGAGTTGCTGTATCCAAACAGGGGGAAATTTTCTTATACCATGAGATGTTTCGCAACAGCCCAGAATGAACGACAGCAGAAACAGAAATAATGATCAATTTGAGGTTAGAGTGACAATACACAAGATCTTTTTTCAAAATATTCAAAATTTAAGCCCATATCTCAAACCAATTTTGCTAGTGCTTGTGGTGTTTGTACTCAGAGTCTGAGATCACCAAACTCTGGAGATGTGCAGCCTAGTTCTGAATTTTGTGGCTTCCTATTCAATCTAACTTTTTAGCAACTCTGGAATGACACTAGCATAAAACCATTATGGGCAAAATAAGGGATAGACATTCAAGGTCAGCAGAAATCATAGACTAAGCAGAGCATTGTCTGCATTCTGAAAATAAAAAGGTCTTCAAATTCAGAAGCAGAAAAAGAAAAAAAAAAAAAGGTAGAAGAGTAAGAATCAACTCAACTATCTCAAGTTACAGTGTTAGCATGAACTGAGAGAGTGGGTTCCCAGTCTGCAGAGGCTCTTCTTAAAATTATAATACTTTTTTTTTGAGTTTTTTCAAACATATTTAGTAGGTGGATAACATGCAACCTTCTGGGATCTCTAGAAAGTTATTTTCCCTAGTGGAAAAAGTCAGCTTCATAAATCTGGTCTAAGCTGTACAATCTTTCCCACATGAGACCCTTACAACTTGTCGAAAAGCTAAAATAAAATGCCAGCTAAAAATAGTTACTATAGAACACTATAATCTTTTCCTGATATTTACAATTATGTCTATGTCCTGTATTTCTTCCAAATTGGAAATTGTTTTACATCTGGATTACAGACAAGCTTCTTACTACGTTGCCAGGTACTGATAAATAGAGTTGCAAAGGTGATTTGTGCAAAAGATCTTAACTCAGCTACTTTTCCTTATTTTAAGGGCTAAGTTGGGCTGAAATAACAAGTTAAATAAAGCTAGTGACTCATCCCTTGTTTATGGTCATCCTCTAACAGCCCAGGTTAGCTTCAGCTGCTAGTCCACCCCAGAGAACCACGGTAGGAACAGGAAGAATATGTTACTTTGTTACTCTGTCAGCGTGCAGAAATGTCTTCTGCTCTCCCCTGTGGAATTCTTTAGCCGGAAACCAATTTCTCTGCCCGTATCTGAAGGACTTCTCCATAAGGGATGAATTCAAGGGATGTTGGGGCAGTGGGGGAGGAGGGAACAAAGTCATGGATTTGGAACGTGTACATCTGTTTATAACATAACCTTGCTAAAATGTTCAGTGAGTCTAGAGTCAATTAAATTCTAAGCGAATGTCCTGATACTAGCTGTGCCAGAAGCTGTCTGGTATTTCGCCAGATAAGAAAATGTAACATTAAAAGACCTTGTCTGAGGCCTGTTGAGGGTTATACATCACTAACTGCTGAAGACATTTCAAGTACTCTGAAACTGTAATTATGCATTGTCAGGAAACCTTTCCCATGTTTTGCTCCTTAGCTGCACTTACATGCTTTCTCAGTGAGGCCAAACGAAGCACACTGGTGATAGAACTTAGTTGACTAGTCATTAAAATAGAAAACAAATTAAAATGAGCTATATAAAAGACAAAACATGTACAATTTTGTTCCCACAGTGAGTGGCAAAACTTTCATTACATGGAGAGATTCCCATTGCTAATGAACATACGAAAGAGTTCCCTTTAATCCTGTCATGTGTAGAGTTCAACCTAGATCATACCACTACTGTTAGAAGCACTGTGATGTGTTTGTGTTATGTTTATGCTAGATGATGAAGTACAATAAACATAGTCATATATAACCCTTTATTTTGCTCAGAGGACTTCTGCTTTTCAGGTAATGGGCTCCCAAGGTAACCTCTCTGCTAAAATAGAAGAGCAAACAACTGAAACCGTCCGAAACCTCACTAGCAGCTACCACAGGAACATGGAGAGCATGATGAAAAAGCTTTTGAACACGATATGTGACATCAACCCTGAAGTTCACCCAAACTTCAGACATGCAGTTTAAGATCCATTGATGTGCTGGGGAAGGATATTTGTTAAAAGTAACCTTCTTTCTTGATAAGCATAAATATTTCCTCATTTATTTTTTCTCACACATACAGAAACAAAAAACACTAAAGACAAAAGCACAAAATAGGCTTTTGATGTGACAAGAATTATACAGGGTTTCACAAGCATTTGTTGGAATATTGTTTCCTGTTGGTAGCTAAGCCCCTGTCATTTAGATGGGGGCAAGTCAACAACAGTAGAATAAATGGTTATTTGAAACCAGCAGCTTTTCAGTTGGAGTCTTTATTCCTTTTCTCTTATAAAATGTTCTGTACTAGGATGTGATGTTGCATAAAGTCTGTTTACGCCAATCTTTATTGTACTTCAAGTTGTGTGAAATAGAATATCACAAAAACTTAAAGCATTTCTGTTTTCCTCACGACACATGGAGTGGTCAGGTTATGGAACACACAGGAACTCTAGCTTTTGGTCAAAAAGGATAGGTCAAAACATTTTCAATTTTTGTATGCTAATTTAAAGCAAAATATAGCTGACTTGTACAGAATGCTCAAAAGCTGTACTCCAAGTATCGTCCTGTTGTTTAACTACACCACAAATTCTATATAGCTTTGTTAAGTCTGAAAAATTAGAACAACAGTAATCATTATTTACAAAATTGCTTTGGTTCAAGGTGCAGACTAGCACATTTGTCATGATCTATACAGTTACACGGAAAGCACAGGAATCCATGGGCTCAAACTCTACACCAGTTACACTAAATGGTACCTTAATCCACAGGTTGTTCACAGAAATCATATCAGTTAGAGCTCACTTCTGGTACCCTAAGTGACCTTGAATAATACTTCCTTCTTCAATGGCACAGAATTCCCTTGGATTAAATTCTACTAAAGTTAGGAAAATAGAATATGATGTGATACTTTCAAGGTGAAGCCCATGAAATCTGATGGGAGGCACTAATAAAGTGGGCGTCTGGCACACACCTGCATCATGAACCCCCTTAATGCCTTGCCTCTGCTATAAAATTACACTGAATTAGAAATTAAGCTTGAGAAATTGCAATGATGAGCAAACAACAGCCATGATTTTCAGTCCACATAGACACAGACAAATCATTTCAATTTCACAGCAGCTAGTCATAGGCAATCTCCTGTTCCAGTGAGATTTACACAGCTGACATGCTGTCATGTGTAAAATGACCATAAAGCTGTAGTCAACTTAATGTCAGCAAACATGACTCCTCAAGGCTGTGCCTGTATGCTACATAATCTCCAAACCCTGATTGTTACAGTCTCCTGTGCTTGATTATATTCTCTGGGGATGCAAGGATGCTGAGGAATGGGATAGAGACTAGAAATCCTATCGACATCAGCTAAAAGGCTCATTTATTTAGGGGTGCTTTGAATCAAGTTGTGAGAGGCTTTGATTTACTGAGAGGATGAAGGAACTCCAGTCCCAGCTGAGGTGCACAAGCCAAGGCAGGCACCCTCCTGCGCAGCACGCGGCGGTCAGGTTTGCCTCACTGCCTGGGCGCACAGGCCTTCACTCTGGGTCATGACTCCAGTCACAGTGTAGCACTCAGCTGTGAAGCACGTATTTTCTGTGAATTTAAACACTCTCCAAGGGGGACACTAATCTCTCACAAGGACTCACTGCAGTGCTCAGGATTGCTCTGCTTTCCCTCTGGGCTACCTCAGCACCCTTTCCACTGGTTGTCACTTCTAAACATACAGAAATGTTGCAGGTTCAGCTGCAGAACTAAAGCAATGGGGTGTCCATCACCAGCTGTATGGAATAACAACGCACACCCCTGTACAGTGAGAGAATTGCCACAGTGCAAGCTAGAGAAGCAAACTAGAGAAGCAGCTTTTCAGGAGGCTGGCAACCCAGATTACGTGAAATAAAGCTTAGTTTTCCTGCACTGCCCTGCTTTGTTTTATGACGATCCCCCCTTTCCTTCATTCTTGCCAGAATCTGTCTTCTGTCACCAACTGCTCCTCTTGCAAAGCTTCTGCACTCCTTTCAAGGCTACTCTCTACCCTTCTGGTCCTAACAGCCACAAACACATCTTTTATTTAAATATTCTTTAAAACACGTCATCCCATGAATACACCCCCCTTGACAGGAACCCAAGCATGTGGTGGGGGACAGCAGAAGCCACTGGCAGCGTGGACAAGCACTGTCTGGAGAGGCCAGTGCAGCTGTGCCATCTCTCAAGCAGTGACACTGCACTGCAATCATGGCACTGCCCTGCCTGTACCCTTGCTATCACCTGCATACCTGAGATATAAATTGGGTCTTAAGTACTCCAGCTTTCTGAATGTGGTTATTTTCTTGAACTGTGGCCAGAATGAAGAGCTACTGCTCATGAAAAAGGAATGAATTCCTTATGATTAGCTCTTTAATCTTGAGAGATTTAATCCAAGAGCTTTGTGTGCTCTGCATTTGCTCTCTTCTACATTCATTCCTATTTCTGGACAGGGAAAGGGTGGTTATACCACCACTTTTAGCTGTGCAGAGGTAAAGGCCAAATTAGGCTCCATGTAATTGAGTAAGATACTGTTTTTTTTAAATGAAGAGTATAAAGTACCAGCTGCATCAATGGAATATTGCAGTGCCAAGAAAACGCCTGCTGAATTTACAAGTGCACAAAATATCTTGTATGTGACACCCACAGATTCAGGATAATGGCAAATAATCATTCCATGCAAAAGATAAATATATAATACAAGCAAGGAGGTTTAGTTTCAGAATGCTTTTAAATGAATAAATAAAAGTAAAAACAGTTACTCTATTAGCATTTACTTACCACAGATGATTATAAATACCCTGCCATCTCCTGGGGAGTATCCCCAGACAGCACCCAGCCCTTGCAGTGCCCTGACACTCTGTTACCTAATATGTACCAAAGCAGTTGCCAAATAAAATGGCAACATCTCACACATCACAACACAACACAACTAGAAAACCACATATAGATAGCAGCACTGTGTAAATATATATATATAAAAATAACTCTGGAATCAGGATCTTAGCAAAAACCCGAACAGCTCCTGTGAAGGTTTCCATCTCTCCAGCCACTCTCCTCCTTTGGAAATGGTGGTGACCTGTCCACGACACCATTTCAAACAGCCATATTTTCTCCACATCACTGGAAGCCAAACTCTGTAAGGAGTAACTATTATCCTCCCCCCGCCAGTGATAACTGTACATAGCAACAGTGATTAGCACTTTCAGTATTTCAATTAGTGTCTTCTTATTATCAATAAATCAGTAAAATGAATGGAGCTGATTCAAGGTCTATGTCTGATCCCATCAAAATCAACTGCAAAACACCCAGAGTGTGAGATATTAGGACTGAAACAAGAAACTCGGGGAGTTTCCTAGACTGGCTGAATTCTACACTGGCTTGAAACAGTGGGTTAAGAAGGCTTTTTCTGTCTGAAAAGGAAGAGGTGTATTACACACTAACTAAATCCACTGATTATAAAGTGCCTTAAACGAGTAGTGGAAAAGGTCAGAACAGTGGAAAGTGCAAGAACTGTTTTATACAACTCATGATTTAATTTGGGCTGAATTTCTCTGGCTGTTTTGAGTTATACATGAGGATGTAGTGACATGATTCCCACTGATGTGTGATGAGGGAAGATCTCTGAACTCATGCAGGTAAGATAGAATATCTTTCACGTCTAAATAAAGTAAAATGAAACACACATGAAGAATTACCCCTATGCTCTAGATAGAGGCTTCCTACTGATTTTCTCATTAATTTCTGAAGAGTTTGGAAATCAAGATTTGGGAATTCAGAACCAGATGTTAATCTATTACATGGATTATGATATTAACTGAAATCAGATTTCATTCCTTGTATATAGCTGCATCAATTAATTTTTCCATATTAAAGTATACTTGGAGGTTCGCATTATCTGTAAAATGTAAGTCGTTCTTGTAAATGATCACATGTAGGATATAACTGTATGTGTGAAGCTCTTTACAGAACAAAATATTTCAGTCCCTGACTTAAAAGATTTTGTAGTTCAAGGGCTGTGAGCAATGTCTCCCTATAAGATGGGACAAGATGACCTGCTGTTGCAGAGCTCAGGAACTACAATGGGACAAGTGACAACAGGCTGCCATGACAGGAGATGTGAACCTGCAGATACATACCTTCAGAAGCACCCTTCCCCAGAAGCATCCTTAACTGCAGACTAAGCAGGAAAGACATCTGTGTGTGACGATTTATTGAGCATCTCTGCAGCAAGGGGCCGTGTCAAACTTTGGGTACACATCTAGGCAGGTTAAGACTTCAGACTGAGTCTGGGGATGAAATACAGACATGTTTTTAGGCTACTAAACAATACCTTCCAATATGTGCAGTGGCATTGGCTATTAGCTATACTGACAGGCAGATCGTACTGTCATCAAAGACATAGATATTGTGAAATAGTAACAGTTATTAAAAAAGAAAAAATGAGCCTTGCCCCTATAGTCCATTTAATGGGAAGTCATCACCTTCCACCAGAATTTCTCTTAACCAAGATTGTACGGAAGTGCTGCATCTTTCAACTACAGATTTGTTTTTTCTCAGATAACAGTGTGCAGACTCATCAAGTGTTACCTAGACACAATTATTTTTCAGGCCCTGGCACCTGCCAGGTTCCTACTCTAGGAGGTTCTCACCACGGAATGGTACCTGTGTGGCATCTCATCCTCACCTTCTCCATACCCTGGGGCAAAGAGCATTCCCTGATTGCCCAACAACTGAGGAGGAAGCAAGGTGCTACTGAAAATAAACATAAGGGGAGGAAAGGATACTGGGAAAACATTCTGGGGTAAGAGCAGAATTCCAGTTCTTTTCCATCCCAGGAACCTATCATGGTCATGTGTTGATTAAGTGGGAAAACTGAATGTTATGTAAAGTTATGTTCTGCTCCATGTATACAATAGATATACTTCAAAATTATTTTCTCCAGTTCATCACAGAAAGAGAAGAAACGCCTGTTACACAATACACAAGTGTCATATATTCCTGCCAGATGCAGAGTGGCCTGTCCTTCACAGATTTGATTATTCCGCATTTTATGGTAGTATAAGGCACTTCAAACCCTGAGTCTTCCCCAAGGAATGTTAACGCTTGTTAGAAGTACATGACCCAACCGGTATTACTACAAAACACTTGGAAAATGTTACATCGGAGTACTATTAATACACTCTATTGCACTTACAGGACATGACTGCATGTGGAAAATCTGATGACTAGCAAG